AAATACGTCTGTATATCTTTCAATAGAAATATCAAAAAATTGTTAATCGATAAGAGTTTTCCCTGTTGTAGTAGTGTTTTGCTTAACCCCTTCGTAATATTTGACAAAATGAAAAAAAAATGAAAAATAAAAATCTCTCTCATTTCAATATTATCTTACAAATTGAGATATAATTATTTTTTTATTTTATATTTTGCAATAGATAGTTTCTTTTCTTTTTATTATAGAATAACACTTAAAAAAAAAAAAAAAAAACAAAGTTATTATATATTATATGAAAAATGCATTTAACGATTTGAGATCGTCTCTTTTTGTATTAAATTTTTTTTTTTTATAAATAGTATGTACAAAAGTATATATTACAAATGAAAATGTGTTTTTAAATCACACTGACCTACCCTTTTTTATTTTTTTAAAAAATCATTTTCCAAATATTCAACATTCATATTTCATCCGATTTACGAATAATGCCAAATATAATATAATAAATATATTTATATGAAATGAATTTGTTTATTCACTAATTAAACGATTACGAAACTTTCTATAAATATCGTTATTCTAACTCTTGTATCTATTAATCCTTATCCGTACACTTACTTCGTTATCTATCGATAAATTCCCATTTCGCTTGGAATAATCCCCCATCTCTCTCTCTCTCTCCCTCTCTCTCCCTCTCTCTCTCTTGGGTTTAATCCAAACTCTTCAAACAAAAGTTCAACTCTCAGCGATATGCGTTTTCGCGACACACCGGTTACCGTCAATGTCACACCTGTGAACGCATCTTGCAGAAGCAATTTAATCAGATCCTTTTGATCCTTAACCCAGCTGTGCTCAGGTTGCCTTTCTAAGCAAGTTGCTTTTCAAGAAAATAGAGAAAAGAAAAGAAAAATAAAGAAGAAAACGTTTTTTAAACGAATACATATATATACATTTATATATAAAAGAATATATATATGTATGTTTAGCAATGCAATATTCCCAGTATTTTTTCCTAGAAACTCCACAAAGCAATAATTTTCGTTCACATACCCCTCATCAAAACCATCCCCATACCACCCCTCTCTCAGTCACCCCTCCCATATACTCGTAGATGATATCCACACACAATTTATGGGCCCAATTTATCCCAGAATGCAACAGCCACTACTTCTTGATAGTAACTTAGAATTAGGTGGTTCTGAAGGTCCTAGTATGCTTCCTATGAATATGACAGGACCTGCTGGAAGATCAGAATAGTAATTAAATTAATCAAGGCCAATGAATTACTTAATTATTAAGTAATAGGCCAATTACAAAGGTCCACCAGGTGTTTCGAGTGTTTCTCTGGGCCCAAGATTATGTCCAACGTGACTGATGGAAATATTCCTGGAATAAGCAATACGAGTATGGGCATGTAATGTCACATTAAAAAAGAAATAATACACAAGTTATTTGTTTAAAAGTATTCATTGAAAAATTAAAAGATATTGATATGATTTATTAAAAATGATTTTTTTTTTTTTTCGTCAATTTGAATACGCGACCACTACTGTTTCATTTTGTTGACTTAATTATTATTATTATTATTATTATTATATATGTATATGTATATGTTATCACGAAAGATTAAAATTGGAGAATGTCAAGATGCACATAGCTCAGGGGTCGGCAATCTTTTGACTCGGAAGAGCCAAAAATTACAATTTACAAAATTTCAAAGTTTTTCAAGAGCCACCAAATTTGTTCTTGCCAACAATAAATAGTACTCGCATAATTAAAGTTAGTTTTTTTTTTTATAAAATATTATTCATCGGTGCCTAATCCTCGTTAATTGATTCAGAACGATTTTTAAATGTTTTTTTTTTTTTTACTAAATTCTTTTAACTAAAGAGACACAAAGAGCCACATGTGGCTCGCGAGCCGCAGGTTGCCGACCCCCCTGACATAGTTAAATGTCAACAGCTACCAAATGTGTTGGTGTGGATGATCGAATATTTGAGTTTACTTTTATACATTAATATTTTTGATATAAACTAAACAACCATGTGAATATCTTCACATTCTTCAATTACGATCTTTTACGATAATATATACATATATATATATTAATTATTTATTTATGTATATAAAAAAGAATGATAACAAGCCAAGGACAGCTGGGTTTTTTTTTTTATCGAGCTAAACTACAATCTAATAATCTTACAAATAAATCGTTCAATTTTAATTGAAATTCCCCATTTACGTATTTAAAGTTCATGAACAAAAAAATTCTTACAATTATTCGATGGATGATATTTTATAAAATTAAATTAATAACAATTTGTCTTATCTCGATGATATTATTTTTAGAATCAATCGTTATAATAAATCTTTGTGATTCTTTCAACAGTTAAATATAATAACTTATTTAAAATGATATATTGAAACAAAAAAAATCGATATTTCCTAAGACTTTCTTTAATTTGAGGAATTGTTAAACTATTTGAACCATAATTTCGATGATAGCACGAAGTATTCGTTTTATTTTCTTTTTTTCCTCCATCCATAATCTTTCGTGAGAAAGTAAGAAGAAAATGAAAATGAGAGAAATTGGTATCTAAAAAACAATGTAAAAAAGAAAACAGAATAAGAAAGAGAGAGAGAGAGAGAGAGAGAGAGAGAGAGAGAGAGAACCGGAAATAAACGAAGCGATTTTTCCGTAAGCATTAGTGAAAAAGGTTACCCATTTTTTCTTTCAATTTTTTTTTTATATTTTTATTTTTAAACACTCTTCTAATTAATTCCACGAAACTTTCTGATCGAAGGATAAAACGTTCGAATAAGTTTGTAGTAGGTAATGGATATTATACATGGGTAGGTGGTGGGGTTTGGTTAAATGTTGATAGTAAATGGTGATGGTGATTGTGATGGTGATGGTGATTATGTTTGTAGTAGTAATAGTAATGGTATATAGATAGCAAAGTGATATCAGAGAACGGGGCTAAGAGTTTTAGAGTCGTGTACGCGTTCAAGGGGGTTGGGTTTGAGAAGAAGGGGGTTGGACGGAGGGTAAGGAGGTTCTTCGTGCTATGGAAGAACGTTCATTTGTCTTCCAAGGGAGAGTACACCGTGTGTTTCGTTTCATACCAAGATGGTGAGTAGGTGGGTGAGTGAGTGGGTGGGTGGTTGGTTGGTTGGTTGGCTTGCTTGCTACTTTCCATCGTGAAACAATACACCACCAGTCTTCCGGAGTTGTGGCCTGCACAATGGCGGCCCTCCAAATGACAAGAGAATTTCGCAATTTCTCTTTTCGGGCTTACCACCACCACCACCACTACCATCACCATCACCATCATCCCCTACTACTACTACTACTCATTCTTATACGCCTTCTTCAGACTCAAGTGTCATCCATTGATCACGAGCGGGAACGATCATTGTCTTCTAGTCGAGTTCCATTTTCCCTTCCCCCGTAAGATTTCATTTTATCTATACCCAATTCTATTCTTTGTTATGTTAGTAAAAAGATGGCTGAACAACCCTTTAATGTTGTAATTTTATATAAAAATGTTGATGTTAAAATTATGAGAAAATATAAGCCTAAGGTTTTTTGATTTGCCACTCCCTTTTTACGTTCACAACCAAAGTGAAAGCAATTTTATGAAGATTCGAAGATGACGACGATTTTATATATCATGTAAACGTGGCCATATATGTAAGTTTAGCCAATAAAGTGACAACACGGCTGACTAGTCTTGTGATTAATTATGACAAATGAGCAACCCCCGAATTGCTGTGATCGCTTCGCTTATTTTCATCAGAATGACGATGATTAAAGTACTACAATTGTCAAACTTTTTTTCTGCTTTTCTCTCTCTCTCTCTCTCTTTTAATAATTTAACTTTTAAAAAGATAATCTGTTTTTTTAACAATAGGACAATCTATTTGATTAGATAACACACACACACAGACTTACGTAAGGATTAAATAACATTTTCTTGAAGATCGCGTTTTTTTTTCTATTGTATTTGTGTATAGCATTTTAAATGTGTGTATGTGTTATAAATTTAATTTAATGATATCACAAATAGAGAGTAATAGAATAGTTTATTATATAATAAATTGACTGACGCAGTTTATATAACTTTCTATCAGTCTTTGAATAAATGATCGATACCGATATTATATTCCTTTTATCTTCTCTTCTCTTCTCTTCTCTTCTCTTCTCTTCTCTTCTCTCTCTCTCTTTATCTTTCCCTTTTTATAGAATAATATCTTCGATAGATACAATATCGTATCTTTTCAATCTTTTTCAGAATTCAATTTGTTGTATTCAGTTAGCGCAATCCAATCTCTTACAAAAGAATTTGTTCCCTGTCCCTTACTTTAAAATTTCACACAATATCGGCTTTCGATAGGTATATTATATATATATATATATTTTTTTTTTACTATTTTATTTTTTTCTTGTTATCGATCTCAATGTAATAAAAAAACACCATCATTGATATCGGATTAGAATTAGAATAATAATTATAATAACGAATACTTCGTGCTATCCATTCTGGCATTTTTATGGCTCATAGGCTCATATGCGTTTATTTAGGCAACGTTTAGAAATTTCGACGTCGACTCCAACAGCAAAAACATTTTTTGTTTTTTTTTTTTTTTTTAATTTTTATTTTTGCTATTACTAATTGTAAGATTATTATTATTATTATTATTATATTATAGTCAGATTTTATTCAGATTAATTATTATTCGATGATGATACGTGGTGAGTCAACGTGCGAAAATAATCGGACGATTTGTGTGTTCCTTATCTAATATATTATCTTATATATCTTATATATATATTTATATATATCTATATATTATATTTTACATAAAATAATAATTGAAAAAAAAAAAAAACGAAAGCGTTGATGATTTTTTTTGTTACTTCATTTCTTTCCTTTTTTGTTTGCATTTTGGTTTTTCTTTTTCATTTTTTTTCTTTTTTATTATTATAATTATTATTACGGACACACGATGATATTTTTATTATTATTATTAATATTATTATTAATAATAAACGCTTTTAATATTAATTATTTTACGAATTAATTTGACAAGAAATGATTAATACGTCTTATGTTTATACGATGTGTATTGTTGTTGTTGTTGTTGTTGTTGTTGTTCGCATACTAACTCGAGTTAGTTTCTCGATAACTTCTGCCACAGTTCCGAAGGGTTTTGTATTTGGAAGATGGAGTATGATGACTCAGATACTTTCCTTTGAAAACTAGCAGTCGTCTTGGGTCGATGATGTTTGTAATAGAGCTGCCACACGTTCCGAAAAGTCCCCAGAAACGGAATGTGAACACTGGAAAATCATAAGAAGATAAATGATTCTTTTTCGTAATTAATTTAATTATTATTATATTATTATTATTATTATTATTATTATTAATTATTATTTCTTACTGTTCTATTATGAATGATTGAAATTGAAGAAAGAAGAGAATGTCAAGATTCACATGATCGTTTGATGTATGATTTGAAATATTTTTCTTTGAATAAGTACAAAAATCATTCGTACAAACAAATAAACGAAACAAACCAATATTATCATAGATAGATAGAGATATCCAGATAGAGATAATCCCATTTGACAAAAAAAAAAAAAAAAAAGAAAAAAAACCCCACTTAAGTAAATTCTGTAAAACGTGAAACATGTCGTAATTAGTAATATACAAATTCGTTGTGGGGGATAATGATTAACTGTGACAAATTAGATCGTAGGCAAAGCAAGCGATAGTCCTGTTATCGGTATAGTTTATACCAAGAGAATTGATATGCAAACTGCACCGAGGTCCTATTACGAACTAAATACACACTATATGGTTACAATGTACTCTACGTATAAACATATACATCAAGATACTAGCGTATATACAATGTAACCGATGTAACTAGAATGCGCCGCGCGCATTTATGCCAACCATTGTGAAATTTAATTAATATGCAGTCAAGACACAACTATCTGCATCACATGTGTGTGTATATATATATATATAACCAACAAGTTACAGTTTTCCTTCTTAGTCTCTTCTCTAAATTGTCCTTTCAAAGATTAAGAGATATATGAGAGTTGCAAAGTATCTACGTGACAAGATTTCAAATTGGTACCTTTTCAAACCCTTATTCCGATTATTATGCGAGAAGAAGAACTTTCTTTTTCTATTTTTTTCATTCTTTTTTTTTACAATGAGTTACGTAAGTCAATCGTTGCTTTTTTATGGTGTGTGTGTGTGTGTTTTTTTTTATTCCTCACAATATTTTTCTCTTCTATTCGTGGCAACAACAACAACAACCCTTCTTCCCCCCTATCCCCCTCCCTAACTCGTGACGAGCAATCGGCTTGAAAGCTATCTTCTTCAAAGAACAATGTCGATGTGTGAATAAGACGCGTATTTTGGAAATTAACATTTCACCCCTTGAGAAATCTTCAAGGACGATTTCGAATAGACTCCTTTTAGGACCTTTTTGTAATAACGCGATGGTGAAAAAAAAGAATGTGTCAAATCAAGGGATGTTTTATAAATATACATTTACTAAATTAAACAACACACGCTCATATGTATATGTATATGTATATTATATAGTATTATTTAAATTATATATAATAATAATTTGCATTGATTAGTCATTTTAATCAAAGACTTCTTGTTATCTAAATACACACGTATCAAAAACGAATCTAATTGAACGTTAATTAATAATAATTATAATAGAAAGTGTGGTAAAAGTATAAATTATCGTTAATAATAGTCAATCAATGAAATTATTATTAATTCGTATATTTGAACAAAAGGTCGAATGAAGTCTTATGGTTCAATTGGAGATGAGAAATCAAGTCGATTGTTCATTTTTTTTTTTTTTAGTTTTGAATAGAGGTAAAATAAAAACAACGTGATGTTGATTGATTTTAACTTTGAAGGAATACTGACGTCATCGTTTGGCCCATAGGGTTGTAATTATTTGCCAGTCAAGCGTATGGTTTCTATACCAACGGTATTTTCTTCTCTTCTCTCTCTCAGTTTCTTCCTCTTTTGTTCCTTTTTTTTTCCTTCCGTTCTTCAATCTTTCCCATTTTCTTTCCTACCTACCCTTTTTCTTCTTCTTCTTCTACTTCTTCTTTCTAGGTTGCCTTTCTCATCTGACCTCTACTATTACTACTTCGTTCCGGTGAATAATGAATCCGTAGGATCGACGAGAGAACGACTTTCACGTTGTTACCTTTCTTTTACTTTGTCACACCTAAGGTATAGGGTAGAGAGAGAAAAGGGCTTCCCGTTTTTCGCAACGTGTGCAAAAGGTAAAACGAAGGGAGTAAGTAACGAACCTGCCTGCCTGCCCTTCCTGTCTGCCTGCTTGCCTGCCTGTCCGTACCACCGGTTATCCCGAACATCTTAGAAATCCTGGGGTTAATTAACACGAACAAAAAATACATCCCAGAAAAAAAAAACATAAACCATCTATGTATGGGTAATTAATAATTTTTATATAACCTGATAATATTTAACTAATATTTATATGAAGTAAAATTCTTTACTTTACAAACAAGAAAATCATTTTTCAAAATCATTTATTTTTAATAATATCTACCTACACATTTATCATCTACCTCACAAACACAAACACAAACGCAAAAATATCTTAATTATTAATTATTTATTTTTAATAACTATGTCAAATTTCTTTTTGACAAATTTTCATTGATACATTTATTTATATTAAATTGCAAATTCAAAGATTTTCTATAAATTTCAATAAACGTTTTATTCACATAGAATAATATTTAACTTA